TGATATCAGCGCAGAAGTTCGAAACTTGCAGAAGCGGTGCGGTGCACGCAAGGACATCAAACGCCGAGTCCGAGTGCGCACAGAAATGGTGGTGCGAGACGGAAGTGCGTGTCGATTCGATTAGATGGCCGGGACACGGGTAGTGTTTCTGGAGGAGCTCAGTTGGGCGGAGAACGCCCGGGTGGTGACAAGCGTCGCCGCCCATAAGGACGAAGCTCCTTGGCGTAACCCGCGCGAGGCCGCAGATGTGCCCCTTGAGGTGCTGCGGCAGAGTTCAAGCTGGTAGACAGAGAAAACAAGGAGCAGCGACTTACTCCCGGGACATCTAGAAGGTAGAAACTTCCGTCGCCGAAGTAGTCGTGCGCTTTGAAGCCACCGATCGTGAGTTTGGTGTGGTCAAAGTCGATTTTGACCAAATTCCGTCCACTGGTCAGAGATCAGGTTATTAGAAAGGAAACAACAAATACGCACGCAAAGTCGCTGGGGAGGAGAGCACTTTGTGGATCGGTCTCGTATGTCTCCATGGACATGGAGCTATTGACGACGAGTTCTGTGGACGGAGGGAATTTGGAGATGTCGCCTGGGGATGTTTGAGTCAGAGTGAGTGCGATAAGGCAAAAAATGGTGTTCACCGATGTGATCAACATGAGCATGACTAGCCACCCAAGTAAGCGTTGGTGCGAAAGAAAAGAAAATGATATGCACCTCCAAATCACGGCACTAATGCTTTCCGTAGTGACACCACTCGCCTCCAGCTGGTCGACGATATCCACATCCGTCGGAGGAACCAAGTACTTCATGATTCGAGCACCAGGCGCCGCGTTATCCAAGTCTTTGCGCATACCCAGATCAAACATGACACGTTTCTTCGTTGCGGGATGCTCGATCAGGAAGGTGAAGAGTGGACATTCCAGGTGCTCGTGGCCAGCCAGCAAAGGCGCAAAAAAACCCTCTGCCGGGATCTTGATCTTGCTGTGCTCTCCCGGCGGGACGCCGTCGAAGAGTTTGATGGTGACGGTGGAGGAGGAGAGAGGAATTTCGAGATCGGAGTACGAGGGCATGTTGGCAATGCGGTTTCAGCGAGCGAGAGCGCCTTAAATCCAGCACCTTTACGTTTTTCAGACTCGGGGAACGGGGTCCATCCAGTATGCCCGCGTGGATTAGACTCAAGCTGGACCGCAGTACCTAGCGCTCCATTCGAACGTTACCGCCACCGAGTAGAGCCTAGGCGGTTACCATACAGTCCATCTACGGGGCTTCGATGTGGAAGATCTGTCAGTGTGTGAGTAGCCACCGGTCCGAAGTAAAAGCTCCAAAATAGCTGGTAAACTGTCAATAGGTGACATCGATGTTGGATGTGGATCCCTCAAGACGACTGCTAGAAACATCGTCAAAGGACAACGCAGCCTAGGACAACGGTGCAGGATGAATCAGCCGATTGCGATAAGACAGATAAAAGTATCCCGCGTTGATCCCGCAAATACACAGCGAGGTCGGGCTTGGCTCGGGCAGGGGCCGTGTCCGGAGTGTAGCCACAACACCGGAGTATGATAAGTTGGAGAAAACGTGATGTTAAACTGGAGCACACGCTCCCAGCGACTCGGAGGCTGATATTGCCCCAACGCCGTACGGCGCATTCACGAGCTGCTGGTCCGCTTCTCGGTCCTCCACAATACGACTGACCGACCAATTTCTCTGTAGCAACTCCGCAAACGAAGGGCCGCACCCGGGGCCCATAATGAGCGCGCGGGACGATCGTGTATCTCAGGCATCTTGGTAGGAATGAATCACATCCAGGCCAACGGGTCCGGGGTAACGAGAGGCAAACTAGGGAGCGGGGTTGGTGTTCCCCGCTAGCTAGACAGAAGAGCGCGACCCCGATGCCGCTAATGAATAACGGCTTTGCGTGATCATGGCACGAGTTGCAATAGTGTGGGGAGGGACCGCGATAGGTCCGGCTTCTCGTTCCCAGCGTCGAGTTGCATGGGTCGTATTGAGGGAGTTTAGCCGCAAGTCTAACACGTACAATAGAGGACCTTTTCAGGCGAGGCGAGAACGAGGATGGACGTTTCGATGGCGAGCAGGACATACCAAGTAGGCCGCGAATGAGCTTCGATGTCAAGGGAGGAACTCCAGGTGAGGGCAGTCCATCAAGGTCAATCATGTCGGACTCCCAAGTCCCGAACTCGTGTAGCTCGTAGGCCGAAAAAATGGTTTATTCTAGCGGAAACAGAGATGAGTGTTTGCCTGAGGAGACTACTATGCACAGCACCGCGCACCTAAGCCCAAATAATGTAAGATTTCGGGAAGGTTGGAAAAGCCGCTGAAAGACGTCTTTTCGGCGCCGATCAGCCGGAGATAGAGCGGCCTTGCTGAAAGACCTCAGCGTCTTTTTCAGCTATCCCGAAATCTTAACTTATTTGGTGTGATAATGAATAACGGGTTTGCATGAGTAAGGAGGGACCGCGATAGGTCCGGCTTTTCGTTCCCAGCGTCGAGTTGCATGGGTCGTATTGAGGTTTAGCCGCAAGTCTAACACATACAATAGAGGACCTTTTCAGGCGAGGCGAGAACGAGGATGGACGTCTCGATGGCGAGCGGGACACACCAAGTACGCCGCGGATGAGCTTCGGAGGGAATTCCAGGAGAGCAAGCCGTCAAGTCGACGTCAATAACGTCGGACCCCTACGTGGTCCGGAACTCGTGTAGCTTGTGGGCCGGACAAAGCGGGGAATGTTGGTTTATTTTAGCGGAAACTGCCAACAGGTGACATCGAGTGTTGGATGTGTATCCCTAAAGACGTCTGCCAACGCGGTCGTCAAAGGAGAACGCAGTCTAGGACAACGATGCAGGCTGAATCAGCCGATGCAGGTTGGTTGAATCAGCCAATGCATGGTGAATCAGCCGATTGCGCAACACAGCGAGGTCGGGCTTGGCTCGGGCGCGGGCGGAGTGAGGGCAGAACACCGGGGTAGTGAGAAGTTGGAGAAAACGTGATGTTGAACGCGCTCCCAGCGAGGCTGATATTGGCCCAACGCCGTATGGTGTAGTCACCAGCTGCTGATGCGCTTCACGGTCACTGACCGGCGAAATTCTCTGCAGAAACTCTGCAAACGAAGTGCGACATCGGCGCCAAGAAACGAGCGCGCGGGACGATCGTGTATCTCGGGCGTCTTGGTCGGAACGAAACAAGTCCAGACCAACGGGTCGAGGGTGGCCAACTAGGGAGCTGGTGCTGGTGCTTCCTCGACGTTAAGCTAGACAGAAGAGCGCGACCCCGATGATGAATATCGGGTTTGCATGATCATGCTACGAGTTGCAATACATAGCGTGGGGAGGGACTGCGATAGGTCCGGCTTCTCGTTCCCAACGTCGAGTTGTATGGGTCGTATTGAGGTTTAACCGCAAGTCTAACACATACAATAGAGGACCTTTTCAGCCGACGCGAGAACGAAAAGGGACGTCTCGATGGCGAGCGGGACACACCAAGTACGCCGCGGATGAGCTTCGGAGGGAATTCCAGGAGAGCAAGCCGTCAAGTCGACGTCAATAACGTCGGACCCCTACGTGGTCCGGAACTCGTGTAGCTTGTGGGCCGGACAAAGCGGGGAATGTTGGTTTATTCTAGCGGAAACAGAGATGAGTGTTTACCTGGGGAGCTACCAAGCACACCGCGCAACACACGGGCGCATCAAACCCGCGACAGGTGTTAGTCATCCCGACGCAATAGACTAGTCACGTCGGGACCGTGGGCGTGCATAGCCTCGAAGTGACTCGCGCTTTGGTATAAAAAGACCAAAGCGGAAGCTTTTTTTGTGCCACCCATTCCTCTGTCTAAGCGCCTGCGTATAAATACCTGAGCCACGTAAGAACAAGTAAGCAGACCGACCGACCTTTGTGCCACCGACCTTCGACACCATGCAAACCCGACGACAAGCCCGTCAAGCTCAGCTTGAAGCAGACCAAGCTGCAGCCACTGCCGCTCAGGCTGCTACCTCGTTGCCACCCACACCACCTTTGACTCGAGACGCTTCGCCATTCAGCTCGACCTTGTCTTCGCTGACTCCCTCTTCCTCCTTCGTGTCCGACGCAGGTCCATCGCAGCCACAGCCCAACCCAAACCACCTGTCCACCGTCAATGAGGAGCCGGACGACGTAAACGAACGTCCAGCAGCGATTATTGCCCGCGCCTTTGGGGTCCCGCACTTCCCAGCCCGTGGCAACCATCGAGCCCTGACCACACCAGTCCACTCCCTGTACTATCCTCCCGAAGTCTTTGAAACTCCGCGCAAGCACGCCAAGCCAACGGACAAAGAGCTGCGCACCGCCGAATGGGCCCGGGACGTCGAACTGGCCGCCGACGAGCGCATGCGGCTTACGCGTACGGGGACCCTGCTTGTTCCCAATCCTGAACCGCTGCAGCCGGGTCAAGGTCTAGGGATTGGGTTGGGGTCGGCATTTGTCAGCCCTGGAGCGCAGAACAGGTCGACGGCGGTACCGAGTCGAGCGCTGAAGAGAGTACAAGCTCCCAAGACGCGAATGGTGAATCCGGAGACCGGTGAGCTGCATTGAGTCATGAGTGGGGCACCGAAGAAGCACGAACATATGTACCATCCATTTATGCATTTTACCAGCACGACATACGTATACCATTCCAGTTATGCATCTTAGGACCACATCGAGAGCCGTTCACAACGTAGTTGCACTTGCAGAGGAGAAATGGTTACGTTCGCTGTGACGCGCATCACAACAACACGATTGGGTCAATTATCTTCGCATTATAATCGGATGGACGAGGAACCAATAGTCTTAGACTACTTTGCAGAGTACAGTAATAATAATAATAATAAGGCGAAAGGTCCCGCGCGGGGCACAGTATATATACCGTGTGCGATCAAGTCTAATAGATAACAGTCTTGGGATACTCTATTCTCAGAAGCTTTCTGAGCTCCGAGAGAAGCTTTTGGGCTCTCAAAAGACCTCTATAAAGTCTCCAATAAGCTTTGGTGGGGTAGTGGTAACCTGGGTCGTTGCCACGACTTGTGAATTCGACCCGCCGGGGGTTCGATTCCCTCCCAAAGCATCTAGATTTTGTTTGCGCTGTCATTCTCGCTATTTTTTCTTCCAACTACCCGTACGCTTCCGACATCCGATAATCCTGTCGTACCGTCTCCTATCCGGAGCACACTGTAGAAGGAGAATACTTCCTGTACACGGAGAATTTAGAATCTCTGTCACACTGGGCAGTGAACCACCCATGAGACGCAGCCCTGTGAATCCAGACTTCCGCCTAAGGGACCAAGGGTCAGGTTTCCAAATTTTTGGTTCAAAGGGAGAAGGCTCAAAATACTTCACTCAAGGTAGAAGATACCAAACCACCCAAGAAGTGCTGCCTGCGGTTAATATTTTCCTCCACGCTACAAGTACGCATCCAGGGGAAGTACACGCTGTGAGGGCTATAGATAGCTGGGCCATGCCGCACAAGCCTTAGGATGCCGGACCAACATGGTGAACGGGCAACACAACTCGATAACCAACACCGCTGGTTTATTACGCACTTCAAGACAATGAAGCGACCCTCACAGACAACACCGAGACTACCGCAACCGCTTTTTTGCAATACTAGTCTCAAACTCCATGTATCTCATCTGGAAACTGTGAAACGAACATCGATTTGAACAAAAGATCCACTCACTCAGAAATTTACAATCGGTGGGTAGCAACAATTAATGCAGCCCTGAAACAGGATATTCTACTCACTAACAAGATGTGATTTGGGCAACTTGCTTTTGTTACATCCATGCCAGACAAACGGAATACTACCTCCGGTCGGACTCCGAAGACATGACAGTCAATGTGACATCATCAATAGTCCAACCTGGAAATAGTAAAGCAGCTTATTCTCGCAAACACCACAGCATGGAAAGGGTGTGCGACAGTCTGGACCCCAAGCCGACTGGACAGACAAAGACTAGGTCGCAGTGGAACGCCAAAGGTACCAAGTGAAATCGGAGAGGTCGGAGACCGAGGCGTGACTGAGTGTGACCAGAAGTCGGCCGGACATAGGCCAACAACTAGTTGAAGTGAAGGAATAGACATCCGAAGGTTTCTTGAATAACTCCGGAGTCGAGACGAAGGCAGAGGAAGGATGAGAGACAATGTCAGAGGAACCTCAAGGGCATAGACAATGTCAATTTTCAAGCTAAGGTACAGAGACAGTAGCTAGAGGTTTTATACTAGGAATGTAACTGTAAATGGAAGACAAGAAAGTAGCATAAAGAGAACAAGAGCTATGAAGGAAACAAGGAAGTAATCATAAGTAGAACAAGAGCAAACATAGAAGGACATAGAGAACAAGGACAAGGAATCCGAAGGAGTTGAAGAAGCTAAGAAGTAAGGATGGATGAACGGATGAACAGATAAGCAGAAGTAAGTAATCTGGAATGGTCTCAGAGTCGGAGTTGTTCGGAGCTCCGAGTCAGTGAAGCCAGTAAATTAGTCACAATAGTGGCTGAACGGATTCTAGAAGATGAAAGCAAGATCGTAAGAACGGTAAGAAAGCAAAAGGAACAAGAAGATAAGGAACTCGGATTTGACTCGGAGTTGTTAGGAGCTCCGAGGCAACATGACAATGAAGTCACATAAGGATCCAAGGTGAAAACGGGAGTTGGAATGAAGGGTACAAGAGGATAGTCTCGAATCCATACTCTCCTGACATCCCAATTTGGGAGCCCTGTCATGAGAGTCTGGGCTTAAGCCAACCCGTTAGCCGTACCATTGCGCTATCAAAAAATTACATGCTTTTGAATGGCGTTCACATCGGCTAACTGAGATTCTCCCACCACACTACATTGACAGCTTGGCACCTCGTGCACTGTGCGTGCCCATCCTCGACGTCTATCCGCCGCCCCCAACGCGTTGAAGGTCTCGAAGTACCGTCCCACATGCGCAAGAAACTTATTTATAACAGAATGCATCGCAATTACGCACTCCGGCCATCGTGGAACGAATTAAAGTCCGATGACTTTGATAACGAGCTGGATGCTGCGAGCACCGTCGGGGCGCCATCTAGCCCGTCTGGCCCGCAGATCCCAGACGTCGACATGAATACCCTCATCCCAGTCCTTGATCTTTGCACAGATCTTTTGCCCGATGACGGCGATGAACCCAGCGAGGATCTTACCTACGGCAGTAATGCACGCGCTCCGAGACTCAGTGACACAGACAAAACCCTCGCCGTCCTCCAGTTCATGAAGGACAACTTTCCCCGCCTTTCCCTTCAACTTTTCCTTGACCAACTCTTCACCTCCGACAATCCTTCAATCACAAATATCACCAACACATATCTTGCAATGGGTGGACGTCGACATCTCCTGGAGATTGTGGTCGGTGACAGCACGAGCGCTCCAGAAGCGGATGTTGCAGACTGGATTATGGCCAAGGCGACCATGATTTGTGCTCGCAAAGTCAGCCAACTTACGGACAGAGCGTCGAGGGGCCAGCACGGTGAAGATGCCAAGTATCTTCGTGTTCCAGCACGTTCTATCAATATCGATTTACTCCGTTCATTCTCTGTTCCTCGCCTACTTTCCCTCTATGAACGCACAACACCGCGACTCCAAGGATTTCTCAAAGCAGTTATTGGGAAGGATACCCCGCCGAGCGCGGACGAAGATGTGGTGTGGTCTCAGCGTAATCCGGACATGGTGAGTTATTGTCTTCTCGAAGGTGGTGATTGTTGACCGATAATTCTAGGGACGTACATTAATTTCGTCTATGATTCTGAACCTGCGCAGTCGGGAGACCAACTTGCATGCCGCAGTCAACTCCCTCATGCTTTGGGATGGACGCGTACCAAAACGCCTGGTCCAGACCTTGAACCGGTACGGATTCTGCACATCCCATCTGTACCAATCGAAGGCGGTGGGTAGTATATCCAAGGACGCGCTCGCAATCGCTAGACAAGCGGCAAATGATCCCGAGAAGCTACTCCTCCTCCCCTATGACAACTTCAACTGGATGGGGACTGCTTGGGAATCATCTGCAACCCACGGGAATGTTTCGCATGACCAGGTCTCTGCACTGCTCGTAATTCTCCAGCTGCCAAATGGCTCACCTCCTGGAGAAGCTGGTCGTCTTGCCGGAGTCGACAACTTCATGCAAACCGCCAACAATCACCACATCCTCCCTCCCGACCAGGCATTGGAAGAGATCATGCCTACTGCCACCGACCAGCGCACTTTCTCTGACAATGCAATGAAACATGTCAGCGATATCCTCTGTGATTTTGTTCCAGGACTTGGTCTTCACCGCAATGAACTGCCGCAGTTTTTCGATCCCTGTGCTCTCCCCGAGGAGAAGAGCGAGGAATATTTCCTTCCCACGTTTGACCAGGAGCAAGGGTCGACTCATGGCAACATGCTGGTTATCGACCATTACTTCCAGTCTGTTCTTCGAATCCCAAAGGCGGTATTCGAGAATCGGAATTTCTTTCTGCTTGGGGATCGACTTACCACGGCACGAGACCACGCAGCGCAGGATCAGCGTGCCGTTGACCGCTCGGAAGACCGAATTGATCATCTGTCGAGCTTTGCTGCCCTCAGTGGTCTCATGCACTTTGTCATGAACAAGATCCACAATATTGGCAAGAATTTATGGGGCGGTGGGAATAATGACGCTGTCAGCTTGCTCACCCTCTGTGACAAGCTTCCGAACCGCACCAACATTAATCTACGCAAGATCAACTTTTATGCATGGCTTCGATTCCTTGACGTCATCCTCCGTGCACTCGTTCTCCGGGCAGCTATGATCACCTTGGGACTCTCAGACTCCTGGCAACTTCGCCAACAACAGCTCTCTTTGTCGGCATTCAAAAAGCTCTGCTCCCAAATTGTGGCCGAGTTTTTACTCCCCTCCATTGACCGTCTCGAGGTGGAGGGAGTCAAAACACTCCCTGGGAGCACAGAATCCGGGAATGCTGTCCTCTTGATGCATGATCTCATGACTGTTCAAGAAATGCGGCACGCAATCAAGCATGGGCATCCCGAACGGATGGTGCACATGCTCAAATTTTGGACGCCCATGTTCTATGCCGGCGGGGGTTATAACTACTCAAACGAGTCCATGGAGCTCTTGCACAACCTGAAACACGACTGGCCTGCCGATATTTCACCTATTCTTCGGGCTGGTATGCTCATGAACAACAAGGGAGGTCGAGCCAACTTCAAGGAGACTGACATCAGGGTTGAACATTTCAACGGGACAATCAAATCACACGCTCACGGTGTGAATGCACGACCTGGACTGCTCGAGAAAATCACTCCGGCTATCGGTCATATTCAGCATTTGACCGAGCAGATTTTCGATGACCTGGGTGTCAACGACGAAGACCAACACCATGCCCATGTTCAGCAGCACACAGATGTTGCACTGCTCTTGGATCATCTCTGCACCTCAAAAATCTTCGACTTCAACCAGGATAAAGCCTCCAACCACACTGTGGTGGACTTGTATCGCACTGGATTACAGCGCCTTGCTGGGCCTGATGGGGGGCATGCAAAACACCTCCGTCGTCATATTCTCCGATCTCGAACACGTCACCGAAACGAAATGCTGCCGGACAACTCGGACAACTTGGAAGACTTTGAGGAAGAGTTTAATGCATTGAAAGATGCAGATGTTGACGAATTGGAGAGGTTGGATCGAGAGCTTGCCGCAGACAAAGAAAGACCTGTGTTGACGCTTCGAGAGCAACTGAATGCTATGATGTGATGGGGCATAGATTATTCAGATGATACCGTAGACTTGTACGACTAAGTTCGGTTTAAAAGTCTATAATCATCTCCCCTTCCTGTAGCACCTCAGGCTTCTTGTTCTGTGCTGTTTTCCGCCGTTTAGGCTGTGGCTCGTCAACCTGCATTTCCTCCGTTGCTTTTGTCGAAAGCAGGCTGAGTTCTTGACAAATTTCCTGGAGACGATCAAAGAGAGGGGTTGAGAGCTTCGTCCAATGAAGAATGTGGGTATAGTGGCGCATGTCCTCCACTGAAAATATTTTCGCAGCGTGTGCAGCAAGATTCTCAAGGT